TTCAGTTTTAATGATCGTCATTTATTACAGTCATACACTTGGGGGTCTGATTCAACGCCGGGGCAGAGCTTCTAGACATCATTCTCATGAAGGTAAGCTTAATTAATTGTTAAGGTTTTATTAGTGAAATGATTAGTTTTTCATTGTGATTGTGACTAAGTCTGCAAAGGGTGATGGTTTTGATTGAATATAAATATTTATGTTTTGTTTGATTGTTTTAAATGTAGGTAATAGGTGAGGCTGATTTTCAGCGTAATAGGGATTTGGAGAAGGTAATTTTCTTTTTTATGTGATATGTTTCTTTGTTTTGTGCTGGATTTGAATTTGTTTGTATGTTGGAATAGTTTTGGTTGATTGGGTTGTAATTTCTTTCCTCACTGAGCTTCGCTTATTATTATCTTCCAATTCTTCATTTAATTTCTATTTTGTCCAATTTTTGCAGTTTTCGCGTTAGAAGAAGACCGGCATGTTTAATCCCATAACTCTCATCTTTCTTTGTTGAATGGTGGTACTATGAGTCAAGATAATTCATCATCTTATTATAGTGCTTTAAAATATCATTATATCGCTTAATATCTTCCAATTCTTCATTTTAATTCTTATTTTGTCAATTTTTTTGCAGCTTCTGTGTAGAAGAAGATTCGGGCATAACTTCTCATCTTCTATTGTTGAATGCGTTAGGTTTGGTTATTATGAGTTCAAGATACCCTAATTCATAATTCTTTATATAGTGGTTTAAATTATATTCATAATGGTAAAAGTTTAAACCATGAATCTTTTCTTATTCACCGTGGCAATTGCCAGCAGGTCGATGTTATTTCCACAGAAGCGCCCCAATTCTGATGTTCTTATGTATCCGACGCTGCTTGTGGAGAGAAATAAGAAAAGCTTTTAAACAGGGACGTATTGAAGAAGAGTTCTGAATAGCAGTAGCTGAAAAAGCAAAGGTCAGGTTACAGATTTGACAGCCAAATTTCTGCAGACAAGATCGCTAAACGTCATGCAACTTCCTGATCGGAGAAAGCGAGCGTGTAGAATTCTTGTCCTCCCAAAGCACATGGAGGTTGTGGTACTTAGTACTTCCACTAAGACACATCTTTGATGTAATGGATTGAAAAAATGATTAAGACATGAGAGGACCTGGCTATCAATTTAAGCCGCTGGATTTTTTCTCAAGGAGTCTTTTTGTGCAATCATGTATATTCTGCTGAAAATGGAGTAAAAACTTTTGGTTAGGCAGACACTCATAGGGACAACAGTCAGGACAATTATTCTGCTGCCCAACTGCTACTCAATTGGGAAACAATGAAATCGAGCATTTTCAAATGCATGGATGAGAGGTGAACCTGTGATAGTTACAAAGTTCTGAAAAGCTTCTGGTCTTAGTGGTAGGCCCAATGGTCAGTGGAGGCTTTGAGGGAGCAGAAAATTTTTAAAAGAGGAGGCTCATAAGTAAAGCTTGATTGTTTTGTTGGTGAGGTGTGTGTTCTGTTTTTATATCCCAGAGTTGCAGTACACCTTTCTGTAGTTGATGAGTTCTTAGAGGCATCCTCCTATGGCCCAGTTCCTACCAGGCCAGTATTTACTGGTTCATGTTATTATTACTTTTTCCTTTGTAATGATAATTGTTTGTAAGCTTTAAATCTGCTCTGTATTTTACTTTCATACTGTTATGTGCCCTTCAATGCCTGTTGCTTCACTCTAAACCAAAATCACAACGTTCTCAATACAAACGAGCATTTAACTAAATTCTGACTGAAGAGTTACATAAATTCTACAATCATTCTGTTTAATCTATTTTGTATTAAATTTTGTTGCAGAGGGTATTGATGTTGCAGCTTCTATCCATTGATTACAAGCGGAGTTGCCATTGGTTTAGGAGATGTAGTATTAAGAGTAGTCCTAGAACATATTTTACTGTTTTATGTCTACGTATAGTTGTGTGATTTGTATGGTAAAATTTTTTATTTTATTGTCATTTTAAATTAATTAAATAGCCATGTATATAGTACTAACAGTAAATATGGAAGTGCAGTGGGCATTAGAGATATCTTATGTGCATTGTCCTAAACACAGCTCAAAAAGTGGTTAGTCTTAGAATCTTGAACCCTGAGAACTACTTTGCTGGTGATACTTTTTGTGGTTGGTTTACATTATATGGTTTTTCATGAATGACATTCTGGACCTTTAAATACCTCAGGATTGGTCTCTTGAACTCAAAAAGTTTTTTCACTTGAAGGGAAGGAGAATTTGATAAGAATGCTCCTCTGGCATGGTAAGTTCAATTAATTTATGAAATAAAGAGAAAACACCTTTGCAGTTAATGTGATGTGTTATATTCTACTCATCTGTGTAAAATTCTCCACTCTGCAGGTTCTTGGTTGACTATTTTGGGGAATACATAGCCAAGGATGAGAATAGCGCACTGAGCACCAGCAACTGGTATATGGTTCTCTCACTCTCCCACTTGTGTGTGTGTGTGTGTGTGTGTGTTCATGTGCACGTGTATGTGTGTGTGTTTGTGTTCAGGTGTATCTGCACTGCAAGACTAATTAACTTTTTAAGAATCTTTCAAATAGTGGAAAGGGATATACTTTGGTGACCTGGTCAGTAAAAGTGCTCGGTGGGCCTAACTGCTTTAGTGATAGAGTTGGGAGAGGTCTACACGGTCAAAAGCAGAAGGAGTTCACCTTATTTTACATGTGTATCCTAATTCTTGATGTTTCCCTGCATTGTTGAGTCTATTGGGTGGTGTTTTTTTTTTTTTATGTGTCCATTTGTGTTAGATATACACACTATTATTGTGCTATACACTTATAACTTATGTATGCTGCTACTATTTTGTGTGTAATCCTGTATTAATGAACACATTTTATCTAATCATAAGTTTGCCCAGTAAGGTGTGTGTGGAGAAATAATTCTAATGCGTAGATGCTTCTTATAGTAATTTATTTCTCTCTGTGATTCAATATATATAACCTCAGAAAGATGGTTCGTTCAACCATGAAAGTTAGAAAATGCACGAAATAGTTAAGACCAAGGGGCTAGAAATGATTGAATGTGAGTGAGACAGAAGCATTGTATAGAGTTTTAGATTTGTTTGTTTTTTTTTTTTTTTTTTTTTTTTTGTTATAAAATGCTCATTTAGTTGTAATTACAATTGTAATCACGGATGAGTGAGGTTTCATGAAATAGGCCAACCTCAATAGTTCAAATATTATATTTGGGGGCTTGAGCAAACTAACATAAAATGTACTTGACCTTTGTAATTCATTGGCATGATCTTTTCTTTTTTCTGAAACTTATAATACCCATTACAAGTTTAATTGGATTACGAAGGTCAAGCTAATGCTTATTCATTGGTGCTAGACAAAACATTGAGATTCAAGATTAATTTGTCGATTTTCTTTTATTTAAACATCTTTTTTGCACTGATCTTCATTGTTCAACATACTTGATTAATTGCTTCATAGTTTATGTACTTGAAGATTAACCAAAATGTCTGCTGAAAGTCTGATTTATTTTATTTTATTTTCAAGTTTTGACAGATATTAATTTGCATTTTTTGAAATATGTCCAATGGGTTAATTGAACAATTTTGAATCTTTTTGCCCTTCATGGATACAATTGTGTATTTGTTTTTCCTTTTTCAAACTATATTTTGTTGAATAATTACAGTTTAACAATTCCTCCTATAAAACTACCTTTATTCCTTTCTTCTTCCAATCATTCAATTGTCACAACATTGATTTTATCCATCTAATTATAGTAAAACTGTGTATTTTATTTAAACTATTAAGATTTTAATAAGGTTTATATTAACTGATTTTAAAAGAAAATATTTAAAGTTTTGTCATGCTTGAAATTGTAATTCATTAAGCTTTTCTTTCAAACTTTGCTATAAATTGTTACATTTCATACTACAGAGATTAAATTTTCATTCTAAATATCAGTCTTCAGCTTCACATAATAGTTACACAGTCCAAGGGTTTACAAATCTTAAATTAAATGGTGAGTGAGAAAATGGTCTTGTAAATTAAAATACTCTCAAAAATTTTCCAAATCTTGAAAATAAAGCATAAAAACACATATCCTCTCATGCCATCCTTATTATAATTACAAAAAACTTATGTGTTCTTTCATACCATCCTTATGATCACAAAAAACCCTAAAAACTTTAATTTTATTGTATGGTACCATATGATACCACTTTTCGTAATTATTAACTTCATATCAATTTGCAACATCACCATGCATGTCCCACTTGTCCCATGTGCATCTATCAACCAATTTTTATTATCACAAATTAATAATAACACTTTTTTCTTTAATTTTGAACATTCATTTCAAATAATTGGTTATGTTAAGTAGAGATTTGATAGAAGCATTAGATCTTCCGTGGCGTATTGGTGGATGGAATAGTACGTCTGTCTCTCTCTTTTTCTTTTAACTTTTTTCCTCTCTCATTTACTTTCAAATAAACAAATACGCCTAATTCTCTATGTAACACCCGCTTGGGTTTCGGGTCCACCGTTGCTAACACCAGCACCCAACATACCTTTCAGGCACGAGGCAGCCACACTCTTCTCTTTAATATTCTTTTATAATTCAAAAAGAACGCACGCACACCTTAATTCTCTTCTTCTCTTTAATATTCTTTCTCTCCAACGGCTCTTTCTGATCTTTGGGTTTTTTGATCCCAAGATCTTTGGGTTTTTTAGTTTTATTTTGGAAAGTTAAGACTTGTTCAGTTTCGTATTTAGGGTTTTGGCTTTGTTATATAATTTTTTACAGTGAATTAATATTAGGATGTTAATGAGATGATGAATCAAGGAGGCAATGCTCAAACCGTGGCTTCACTTGACCCTAATTTGGTTGAGGTAATTATTCTTCTTTTCATATTTATTCACTTCACCCTAATTTGGTTGAGGTAATTATTCTTCTTTTCATATTTATTCACTTCACCCTAATTTGGTTGAGGTGATTTGATTGGTGTTGAGACTCGAAGCGCTAGTCTTTTTTCAAGAGGAAGAGAACCACTGAAGAATCGTACTGCTGTTTTTGCTCTGGGGGATTGGATCATCATTTTAAAGGTTCAATTTTATTTCACTCACTGTGAAATATTCTTTGCCCTGATATTGTGGATTATATGTTTAGTTTCTCACTGGATCGCATAGTAAATCAAATGTCAATTGTGATCTTTGATCACTGATTGTTTGGCCTTGGCTTCTTCTTGGGAATATTTCAGAATATATACGCTTATGATTCGTATTCCAACTTATTGGATTGGCAATCTTTCTTAGGTTTTGTTTCGTTGCAGTCTTATTTAAATTTTTATGTTTTGATTATAATGGATCTAATTCTCCTCAATTGGGCCAATATGGAAACATAGAATGCCTGCTGAAATATATCCTTTCTTGTATTTGTTGCTCTGGTAAAGTAAATACCAAAGAGAAAATAGTAGTAAAGGAAATCTGAGCCCATTTTTCACATACTCAAAAAAATGTGGAGTCTGATAAGATAAAGAATTTGAATTATGCTGTAAACTTGTGTTAATTACTTTTTGCTATGTTTTAGATTTTAACTGGCATCAGGTCAGGTTATAATTTTGCAGTGTGCATGAGAATTGGAATATTGTTGAAAATAGGCTCTCTTCAGATTTTTTTCCCCTACTATTTCATAGTCGTTTCTGTTTCCTGCTTTTCTGGGTGTGCTTGCAGTCACAGAAGTCTGTTTTCAAACTCCTGCTTCCCCACTTTCCCCACCTTATAATTAGATACATGCATTAAACTCTTTGTTTTTTTTCTTAAACTGTCCCTAAATTTATAACTTATTATATCTATGAAAGTTGACAGTTTTGTAAAGAGATGTGAAATGATGATATCTAAGGCTATGTGCTTGAACAGAGGGAAAAAAGGAAAGAAAGAAGAAAATAGGAAGAAAAGTGATGTGTGGGATATGTCTCCTGTGTATGAAAGAAATGTTTCACTATTTATGAAATCTATCATTATTTGCTGGCAAACGAGGTTCCATGGTTTGAATCTCTTTTTGGTTTCAGGAAATTGATTAACCTGCATTGATTCCGCATATATCTGAAGCCAGCTCCTTAAAGTATACTAATGAGGTCCTTTTCCGGAGCTTACACAAGCTGCTTATGGATACTGCAACTTCTGAGTACCTTTTTGCTCTTCTCCTTGATTTTGTTTTCCAGATGTAAGTGAATGTCAAGTCTGTTGTATAGTTTTTTAATCTTTTATTCTCTAATTTGCAGGTATCTTTTCTGTGATCATTTCTTCAGGAAGAATCTATATTTTATGAAATTTTTGCAGGTAAAATTTTATAAATAATAAGGTCAAGATATGCACCAGAAGGTGGCACTTGAAGTGAATAATAATCAGCCAATGCCTTGTTGGAGTTGCCAGCAGGTGGCAATTTAATTTCTGCTAGAACTTCTGTGTCAGCCATTACAATTTCAGATTTTAGTAGTACTGGTATTATTGAGACTGGCTTAGGATCAGTTTTGGCTTCTACAATGAAAGAAAGCACAACCAAAGAGGCAAGTACAGATGCTTCTTAGGACACTTTCAAAGTAGCTATTCTCACAGTAAGTGATACAGTTGCATCGGCAACTGGGCCTGATCAAAGGTACTAAATCTGTGTATATGCGTGCTCTCTGTCTCGGTCTCTATCTCTCTCTCTCTCTCTCTCTCTTTTATATCCTTTTTTCATGCTTCCTGTGTATATATATTTATTCATCCCTCCAGTTTAGATATGTTAAAAAGCAAAACAAAGAAAAGGCATCTAGGTACACCTTTTTGACTTAGTAGTTTTAAAAATCTTTATGGATGCTACAGTGATAGAGCAGAGCTGATGTTCTGCCTTGTATGAGTTAGATATGGAACAGTATATAGCAAACAGTTGATGATTAGTATCTTTATGTTCTTGGATGACTCAATCTTTGGGATCATCTTCTCTAAGTTGTCCTTAATTGGGAATGCGAAGATCATTACCTAAACTTAATAGCATCCGGATACACCTCTCTGAATCATTGTTTCAGAAGGGTCGCTTACTTGATGCCATAGTAAAAAGCCAAGCTGATATTACTCCTTGTCAAAGTGAAACATGGAAAGTACTAAATGCTATGCAACAGTATTCTGGAAATAGTATGTCAATCATCAAGTCATCTTGGTGGTGTTCTTTCTTATTTTTGCTTCTATTGTGCTTGTATTAGAACTTCCTTGAGAGCATTGAACTATAAATAAACTGACAACACTTTAGAACTATCCTTTTTTGTAATGCTTGACTATTTGAAGAATTGACCAAACTTGAAATCTTTTTGAAAGCATTAATGACCATTTAACTAAAGGCCTTTGGTTGTGTGAGCCATGGCCGATTAACTGATTCATGGAAAATGTTGTACGCTTCTTAAATTTAATATGCTAGACATGCATAGTAGAACGATGCAGAAACTTTGGTTTACTTCTGAGTGAACAATGGATGTCCATTTAGTTCAAATTATTAGAAAAATAAGAAAAATGTCTTCTAATTTTATCTTTCTGTTTCTGCATTGCATTTTGATAGTAAATGATTGAACACATTTAATTTTCAATGGGCCTAGAGCTGTTTCTGTTGTAAATTCCTCATCTGAAAGGTTGGGTGGAGCGAGGGTAGTTGCAACAGCTGTAGTCCCAGATGATGTAGGGAAAATCAAAGATGTTATCCAGAGATGGTCTGATATTGACAGAATGGATCTCATCCTTAACCTTGGTAAGTTTCAGATTGTATTCAGCTAGTTGATTCTGTGGGTGAATTTGTTTTTTGGGTTATCCTGACCTTTTCCTTTTCTTTTTTGAATATATTTTGAACAAGGTGGCACTGGCTTCACCCCAAGAGACGTTACCCCTGAAGCTACAAAAGAGTTGATTCAGAGGGAAGCACCTGGTCTTTTGTATGTAATGATCTAAGAGAGTTTAAAGGTACCAACTATATTTTTTGGAAGTTATTAATTTATATTAATACATCATAGCTTCTTGTGTAACTATTTGAACTTTTCTACTTATGATTATGTCTTGACTGATAAGAGTGTTTCGTAAGTAACTGTGTAACTGTTGTGGAATTCTCACTTTAACATTGAAATAATTTTGGGGAAGTTAGTAAAAGTTCAAGCAAAATTTATTTGATTCAAATCACTGACGGTTTAGTCCTTAGCTGTATGCCAACATGCACTCCTTTAATTTACCATGTACTACTGCAAGTTTGAAGTTCAAAATGACTATTTAGATGTGTCTATGTTGTCTTCTCGAATGTCATATCTCCTGTTTGTTTATATTTCAAAGTCTTAACCATTTTTCCAGTTAAGTTTATAAGTATTAATATTTAAATCCGGTAAGAGAAAGTAAAGTCATATATTTGAATTCTGAGTATGGTGCATCTTCTGTTATTTAAACTTTTCTTAAAAGTCTAATTTCAATGCCATTTTTTTCCTCATTATCTCGAATTGGGATCATTCAATCAGTTTGCCATGAAAGTTTCTTGGCTTCTATGTGTGCAAATCAGTGGTCGTTACATCCTGACAGTATGCCTATTTTATTTAAGTTGATCTAACCAATTTCATGGAAGATTTTCTGCATATTAATAAATCTTCTTCTATTGGTGTATTTTGAGCAGGGCCTTTAGCTAAATTCCTGTTTTTTCTGTCCTTCAATGCGCACAACGTCAAGACAGGCTGTGAAGCGATACAAAAAGTTGTTGGCAGAGTTATTTTTCCGTAATCAGGTGGATTTATAGCTTGTGTAATGTCACTTGAACTTAGGCTTTGAAAGTATATGGCAATTGCATCGGTTTAATTGGTCTTGGTAATGTATGTATGGATTAATTTTTAACTTGTTTTGTGTTTCCTAAATGAAGATGGAGTATTGTCTGTAAGATTGGGTTTTTAGTTAAGGTTTGGTTTACTGTGATATTTTAGCCATGTTTCTAGTGCTGTTTTGAAACATGTGAAATTTGTTTTCATATCATAGAAACGTTTCAAAAAAGTGGAAGGTTCATTGTTGCTTCTGCTGCTAGTAGTACAAATAAGGTTACTCAGTTACATCAAGAGAAATCTTGTACATTTTAGAAGAGAACTTGAATGCTAGCAATAGAGACGTCAAGAAATATCGAACTTATCACTTTTAGTATCTGCCCTGCTTTTTACAGAATTTCTTTATGCTTCTGATTCACGCCCCTCCACTCTCAACCTCCTGAAAACAGGAACAACCTTAAAAAGAAAACTGAGGCATTTCATGTGCTTATTTGTATGCAGGATGCTAAACCAATTGATAGAAAAATTGGTAAGCTTTGTGAAAATGCTTCGAAAAACCCATTACGAATTCCCAAGGTATGATTTATCTTCTGGTTGACCCATTACTTTGCATTTTGATGCATACATAAAACTTCCAAACTGAGCAAATCAGCCATTTTATCTTTTACTTCAGACTATAATGCATTATTTTTTTAAATGTAAAATGATTACTAAAGCTACTCTTTTCACCAATCCCTTTCCACTTCTGCCAAACTTTTAGTTACTTTTGCCTTATGCTGATTGTGCCTTTTTTCTTCTTTTAGCCTTCTGTGCTATTCTATAATTGCTATACCATAAATTTATCAAGAACTCAAATTTCGTTATCACAAGTGATTCTGGTTCCAGTTTCATGCAAATGAATAAAAAAATCTAGTGAGTGCTGTTTGTTATGCTTAGAATATTGACCTGGGTGAAATATAAAGATTTATGTTTGAGATATAAACAACATCTGGATCTGAAATTATCTCAGTATATCGTTTTGTTTCGATTTAACTATCTAGTTCTATTCTTAATCTTTCAGTATCTTATCTGCACAGATTACTAATCAGCTAGAGCAAAGATGTTACAGGGATTCTTGGAATGAGAACTTTTTATCTGTAAAAGTTATGGCCTGCATCTATAAGAAATTCTTATCGTCATGTAAGGAGCAGAAGTAAGTGTGATTTATTTTTCTTTTCTATTCTTAATCTTTCATTGTTCTTTATTCTTCAAAGTTGGGAGCTTCAATAACCTAATCTGAAAAGGTTTTTCTTGATTGCTAGGCTAGGGTTTCATATGTCAATAGATTCGAGTTGACTTTTCTCTTCTATAGTTTTTGAAACTTTAGGACAGCTTGTTTGTTTTTTTGTTTTTTATTTTTTATTTTTTCATAATACAAAATTTCTTGTTTCCTTTGGGAAAAAAAAAAAAAAAAAAAAAAATACTATCAATGATTTGCATAATACTCGAATTAAAAAATTGGTGTTGTAGACAATAATGGATACAACATGACTCGTGTCTAATTGTGCCTAATAATTACATGTGTAGTTACCAAGGAATGTACTTTTTACCTGGCTTCAAAAAATGCATATGTTTTTATTGTCAAGAAACATGAAAATATTATTATGAACTTCTTGCTTTAAACATTACTCCATTTTGAAGTCTAATGCTTTTATGTTTGTGTCTTTTTAATGTCGATGATTATACTTTCTCTGAAGGCATAATGAAAGATTTAATATCCTTGTTATAAGAGGGCAAGAAGATTGATAGCAAGCTCATGTGGGAAACTAACTATGCTGAAGATATGTTCTTGTCACCTATGATAATGTTTATTATATGGTAAGAGTACATTTTCCCTTTTTATTTGTGGCTGGTGGATTTCCTAGATGTACTATATTTGGTGTACCAGCTCTAAAATCAGATTTAAAATCACAAATTTATTCTAGATTTATTTTAGCTTTTGATACCCCAATCAGGTTTTTTGTGCTGATTTAGCGGACACCTGGTGCACGTATTAGTGTATTGCTGGAATGCAAGCTCTCGCAAACATGGTACAGTTTATTTACCTAGTGTATTACTTTGTGAATGCACAGACTTAATGCACATTCCTGCTGGAATGCAAGCTCTCTCTAACATGGTACACTTTACTTGCCTAGCTTTGTAAATGCACATTTAGATACACATACAATCGGACTTAATGCACGTTAATCTTTATGGCCAATTCTTTTAAGTTTCTTTTTATAAATTCTTCTTTCTTATGATGCTTAAAATCTATTTATGCGGACTGTTGTAATTTAAAATATTTTTATGCAGACTGTTGTAATTTAATTGGTTTTTGGTACTTATATCTGCTTCGAAATGCCGTAACCATTTTTTAGTTGTGTACACTTTATTTGTAATCTTTTACTTTTTCTTACTTCTAAACTTCTCTTTACTTTTTCGTACTTCTAAACTTCTCTAAGGCATTTGATGAGAGGAATTAACATGATTGCTAAAGTATGGATTTGGTAAGGTTAGGTACATAGGAGTCCAAGTCCTACACTTCTAGTCCTTCTTACATGGGAGATAATGAAGACCTAATCAATTTTAATGAAAATCTAACTAAAACAAGACAAGCTAACCTTTTTGTGAAAAAGAATAATTTTTGGCTTTTGGACTTGCATTCTGATGAGAACCTACCTAGATTCTTTTGCCCAACCACACCCAGAATGATAAACACAAGAGTATATTCAAATAATTCAAGGAAACATCAAGGAAATTAATCAAAATAACAACAGAATACTAATATGCTGGACTTCGAGGGCCAGCTACCTCCATGCTGGACTTCGAGGGCCAGCTACCTCCTCTTCACTATATTCACTTTTCAGATGCCGTCTCTCAATCTTCTGCTGCTCCTTTTTTTCACTCTCTTCTCCTAACAGAATTCAACCATCCACCATTCTCCTTTCGCCACCTGTCCATTCCACTTTTTCTTCTCTTCGCACGTTAGTTGCCTTTTAATCACAGTTAATCCACTACTGCCCCTTCCTACATTTCTTATTATAGACCAGCACACTAAAGGTCTCATCACATTCCTTGTTTAAGATTGTGGGTGTGGCATCACTTTTTCCTGATTGTGGGAGACAGTGACTGAACATGAAATCTGCTTCTAGTAGCAAGCTGGTTCTCTATAGTACCTTTCTAGACCACATTGTTTGTCACTTCTTCTAGCTGTCAACAGGCCCCTTTATCAGACTTAGAAGATGTTGAATTGATTTTATCAGTTGTCCTTTAATACATGAATAGATAATTATTAAATTCTTTTCTCATAACTCCAACATATTCTATTGACAAACTTAATTATTTTTTTGTTCAAATGTAGAGATTTCATTTGTTAATGTTATGCCACTTTTAATAATCTTTTCCCGCTTCCTATGCTTAGTTGTGGTTCATGGGTGAGCAATCACATATCTCAATGGACTTTGACAATGTGAGTTTGCTTTTCCTCCTGTTGGTTCTTATTAGTGCTGATGTAAAAGGAGGTGATCTCAGAACTAGCTAGAACCTGAGATTTAACAGATTCAAACTCAGAAGGGAGTCAAGCTAGGAAACTCATAACTGCCATTTTCTCTCGTTGAGCTTGTTGAACTTTCACATTAGCACTCACCGGTAAAAGGACGTTAAGTTCTTCATATATCATTTTAAAGTCCATAAAATAGGCTGTAAGAGACCTATCTTGTTTCTCAGCTCGATAAAAGGCTTTGCATACGTCAAAAATACAAGAAACATTCTCTTTCCCAGAATACAAAAAATCTAGATAGTCCATCAACTCTTTCACATATTCACAATTATTAATTAAACCAAGTACTTCACTGTTGATGGAGTTCCGTATCTGCAGGAACAAACCCACATCCTCTCTCAACCATATTTGCTTTGAATCATCTTTAGACGAATCTTTTGTGAGATGATCATCTTTACCAATGCTTCGCAGGTAGAGACAAATTGTCTTACTTCAATCAAAATAGTTATCAGACCCATTAAACTTATGTTCCTTAATTTTTGACATTAGAGGACCCATATCAGTTATAGGTTTATCAGCCATGGTAAGAAGACGAAAAATTGATCTCAACACATATAGCCAACACAACTTACAAAAATTAACAAACTGACCTCAACACAAATAGCCAACAAAACTCTTCAAAGAACGAAATCTGATACCAACACAAATCAACAAAACTGATCTGACCTGGCTGAGATACTAAGGAACTGATCACACAGACTTGCCGGAAATATCAAGACGAAGCCGGGAAGGGTGATCGGAGCACTGTCCTCCGTCACACGCGCCCCCATGCGCTGGCGTGTGATTACGACCGCAGATGAAAAAGGTGGTGCGTGAGACTCATGCGCTGCTCCACCGGTGACGGGACTTCAGGGAATGGTCGGTCGGCATGAAGGGCTTCTTCCTAGGCAGGCGGTTAGAAAAAAAAGGCCACTCTCTAGGGTGACTCACAAATAATGCTCACTTGGGCAGAGAAAAAGAAAACGAAATTGAGAAACAACCTAGAACTGCTCTGATACCATGTTACAAACACTGATTGTAATTTTCTTATATCTGTATTGATAAATTATACATCAATATATAGGAAAATAAAAAACTAATCTAGGAAACAAATAATCTAATCTAGGAAATGAATAATCTAACTTCCTATTTTACAGATTTGTTCCTAATATATATTGATTACAATCCTAATATCCTATTATAGATTTATACACTTAATCATGCAATATCTGTGAGATTTTGCATGATTATCTACAACAGTTCTTATTAGTGTTTTTTTCTTACGTGATGTATATAATTAATGTCATCTAGTTTATAGGTGAATTTTGGGAAACAATTTTTTCCTTGTTATATTTTAAGTTGGACTATGAGGCACACTAGCAAGTGTGCACAATGTTTGCTTTTCATATTAATTTGAAGTAATTCTCCATTCTGAAATAGATTATTTCCGTGACTTTGGAGAACTACCTCGATCTTCAAATGAAACCAGGAGATGGTAAGGAAGCGAGGCAACATTCTCAATCTCAGGACCAATGGGTGCAAGGGGTGCGTAAAGAAGAATCTCATGGCTCATCTTTTCCAGATATGAGTACGAGGGTTTCCTCTCGCCAGAACCTTGTGACTAATCCTGATTTGTATTCAACAACGTGAGGCATCTTTTTTTACTTCTTGGGTATATATTCTTTATATTAGGAGATTTCTTAAATGTAGTTAACATACTTAACTTTATATGCCAATTTTAAAGTGACACTTCGAAGAGCCCCTCTTACTGGTCCAAAGTTTGCTTGAATAATATAGCCAGGTTGGCTAAGGAAGCTACAACAGTGAGGTGTGTACTTGAACCCCTTTTCCATCATTTTGATGTAGAAAATCATTGGTCATCAGATACAGGAGTTGCTTGTTTTGTTATATTGTACCTGCAGTCGCTTTTGGAGGAATCAGGTTACATGTGGAATCTTAATGCTCCATCATGTTTCCATTATTTTTTATTAATTTTTCTGTGGATATAATTGATATGAACTTTTTTTTTTTGTTTAATCTCCAGGAGGAAACTCTCACCTGTTGCTATCTATCTTGATCAAGCACTTGGATCATAAGAATGTTGCCAAACAACATTTGTACAGATTCATATTGTTGACTTTGCCACACAACTCACGCAAAATGCAAAGCTGCAGGCCTCTGTTGCTATCATTGGTGCAATAACCAACTTGATTAAACAGTTACAAATATGCCTGCAAAATGCAGCTGAATTATCTAATGCTGTGGATGATATGGCTAAATGGAATGCTGGTCTTCAATATGCCGTATAAAATTGCATTTCAGAGCTGTCAAAGAAGGTTTGTGATTGTTTATGTTTTTTATTTTTTGAAGTGTGAGTTAAAAATATTTATGCAGGCATGCCATATATCCAACTGTTACACAACTGTTTGTACTTAACGGGTTGGCAATGCAGGACCCATTCTTGATATGATGTCTGGTTTGCTAGAGAATATTTCAAATAATACTGTTATTGCTAGAACAACAATCTCAGCTGTTCATAGGACTGCCCAGATTGTCTCTTCCATCCCGAACATATCATATTACAAGAAGGCAAGTGTACTTGTTGAAATTGCAATATACTGTTCAGTTTTAAGAAGTTTGAAGAAACATCTAATTTTGGAGGATTTCTGTTTCAGGCTTTTCCTGATGCTCTGTTTCATCAGTTACTCCTAGCAATGTCTCATCCGGACCATGAAACCCGAGTTGGGGGGCATAGTGTGATTTCTGTTGTGCCAATGCCATCTCTGGTCTCCCCTTGGTCATATCAGGGCAAGGATACTTCACAAGCTGTTTCTAGCATCTTGCCAGTCTCTGTGTCACAGAAAGTAAGAAGTGGAAGTTTCTCCTTTCAGGATAAAGGCAAAGAAAAAGAAAAACTCGTGGATGGAGGACTGCAGGAGGAAAGTCGGGTACCAGATGTGAATGTGAAACACTCATAGTCAGTCATATAGCTTTAAGTGTGCTCTGACTAATGGAAAAACAGTATGGAACCCCAAAATCCTATAATTTTAAATTTAAAGAGTGTTTTAGAAATTCTGTTTAATCATCTACCTGTCTAAATTATTTCCCGCAGACAACTTCCTTCCGACTGAGTAGCCATCAAGTGAGTCTTTTGCTTTCATGTTCGAGCAACATCTGTAGAAATAACCCTGCAAATTTTGAGGCTATGGCTCACACTTATAACATTGCTTTGTTGTTTACACGATTTAAGGTGATTCATGTTTATGTTATTTTCCATTGTTTTTACCTTTATCTCCTCTGTGTTCCTTTTTCAGATATTTTGAAAAAGTGGAACAGATTTTGCATGGTCTCATCATTTTTCCTTGAGTTTTCATGGCATGCCTGAAGTTTGATAATTTTTTTTGTGTACTTTAGTACTGTACTTAACATCCGTGGTTATCATTTTGGTGATGACAGACATCCAGCGACATGGCCTTAGTTTGGTGTTTTCAGCTTGCTTTTTCACTTCGGTGCATCTCTTTGTACCGAGAAGGTAAGTTGCGTCTAATGGAAATGGTTTAATTCATGTTACAACTAAGCCATCTAAGAGAATATTAGTTGGGTACTCTGGATCATCTTGAATGTTTTCTTTTCCCATCCCAGTTATAAAATGGGTAAAATTACATTGATGGCCTATATGACTTGGTAAAAGTTGATGATACTAAAGATATGCAGCTCACCTATAATCTGATTCAGTTTATGCTATTTAACACCAACGCAAATGTCCATTTAAAACATTTTTCATGATATGATTTGCTGCCCCCGCACCCCCACCCGCTCATCGGCAAGTGGGACCGCCGCCCACTCACTGGGGAGCGGGACCCTTGAATGCGTCTACGTAGGGGACTTCAAGCCCATGCAAAGTATGAACCATAACTTTTAAAGTTAAGCTGTAATAGCAACCTCTACCAGATTTGATTTAGGTCAATGCCCTCTATGCCTTAATTTTCATTTGAAATTACTCTGATGTTTTGGTTTACTAATCTGTTCATTCCAAAAGCATTAGATTGGCTTTAGTAAAGCGGGGACATAATTCTTTTGTTTTTTCGTTTTTTTTTTTCTCTTAGAAAACTTTTCTTCTTCTTTCTATATAATTACAAGTTGCTTTGATTGCTATGGTTACTGGTTCATTCAGTTGACCCTAGCCAGTGGGTTTTGGGCAACTCCGTGAATTTGGTGAGATATAACCCGAAAACAGTTGGCAAGAATCTTTACATTTTTTTTGAAGCTTGCATCATGGCCCGGTATAAATGGTTTGGAGTGTTTATTACCTGTTTTAAGGGGCCTATATGCATATGTCCTGCAAATACATACCTGCATGCATACATATATTCTATCTGATGATTTATGTTCTCTCTCTGAACATATATCAGTTAGCTAAGCAAGAACTTTAGTTTGGTTGGTCATCATTATTTAGATGTGGGTATGTCTACATTGAGTTCACTTGGCTTTCCAGTGGTCTCTTTGCTTTGGTTTGATTTGGTTTTACGCATATGAAAGTTTTGTGGCTGTCTATGGAGTTTGAGCTTTGTTGGGTTAGCTAACATGTTACCGTGATTAGTTGTTTTGTGGTATGCATTGAGTTCTGTTGCAAGGTTACTTTGCTTCGTTTTTACTGATATGATGTTTCAAGTTTTTATCTAGATTTGAGCTTTGCTGGCTCAATATGCATGTTGCTTTGTTAGCTATTATAAGTTAGTTGTTTGCGGAATATTTTATTTGATAAATGTAGTACTGTTAAGAATGTTGAAGACTAAGTCGTAGTGCCTCCTAGAGGGGGTTCAGTTGTGAGCAAATAATTGATTAATAGCTGCAGCAACACAAATTTTAGTAGTTTGTTTCTCTTTAATAGATTTAGCCATTAATATTTGTGTCAAATCAAAGATACATGTGAATTTTGATGAAATATTGCTCCTTTTGTGACTCTACAGAGCCAACTGCTTCACTTCCTCCAACTGAGATAGTGGAAAAGAATGAATACTTTTGTTTTGGTATAAGAGATTCTCTTGGCATAGAGGCATCCTTCTTGCAGGTCTGTTAAATGATTATGCTTTTCCTTCTATTTTTATTAGGATTTTGGGTTGGCTTTTAGACCATCAACCTCTTTTGATTAAAAAATAAGTTCCTTCTAGTTAATGTTTGTTATGATGCAAGATTTTATGAAATTTCCTTTAGATATTCACGAGACATGGTTAGAAGCAACCAATATAGGTGATTTAATATAAAATGATTTTAGTTCTAAGAAACTTTTGTTGAGCAATATTTGCATCCAACTGTTAGACAGGTTTTCCTCATTAATGCAATTGGCTAAATGCTTATCTGTTGATTGTACCTTTACAGACAGAGGAAGAATTGCAGAATGTAGTGAAGGTCCAAAGAAACAACCTAGTTCCAGTCAGAAATTGGAAAAGCAACCAAGTCTTGCTTCCTCAGAAATTACTCTATCATCCCAGCTATATAAAGAAGAAGAAAGGGTTGGAGTTCCTGTAAAGGGAGGACTTTATGAGGTAACCCTTTTTCAGAGGTTTCTGCTGTAATTGTTGTGTGTGTTGAGTAAGGGTGAAATATGGCTTTAGACATGATTTATTAACTTCTTAGTATTATTACTGTTATTTTTTGTCATGTAGATCTGGATGCCATGTTTCTTGTTCTTTATTCATTTAGTTATTTTAAGAACTTATGTTTTGACCTTTTTAATTATTTATATATTCTGGTCTGCGAAACTCAGAAGTTTTGAGCGGAAATTTTAATTTGATTTTTTTAATTATTGATTTATATTTAAGAGCCGTCTTTTTTTTTTTATTACTCAACTCAGAGAATACTTCTGAAGATCAAATCCTTAAAAATGTTGCAGGTAGATTTGTTGAAGAGACACTGTTTCCCTGTTTATTGGAATGGAGACAATCGACGTGTTCTTAGAGGTCATTGGTTTGCTCATAAAGGGAGCCTTGATTGGCTTCCACGTGAAGTTGTTGCTGAACAGTTGGAGATTGCTTATCGTAGTAAGGTTTGGTGCAATTATATCTGACACTGTGAACGATTATGTTATTTGATAAGGTGGAATCTATATAGACCTATTTCCTAGTTCATAATGTCAGTATGCCTGTGATTTGTATATATAATGACCTGCCCTCTGGGGTTAGGAAACTCATTAAGAAAAGTGTATATATATAAAAGACTGATTTAGATTGATTACCTTCTTTAATAGATGCAATTTTAGGATGCGATGGCTTTCTGACAATAGCAGTCTGCAGTTTCTTTATCTTTTAAGTTGTACTTTTATAGTCATTCTCTCCTTTTAATTAACTGCATTCGGCATTATGCGTTGTTTTACCATTTTTGTATGGGAACAGTAAGAAGTTTGACTTTCCCTAGGTTTGGCACCATAGAAGATTTCAACCTCTGGACTTTTTGCGGCTCGAGTTGATTTACAAGGCTCTACCCCAGTATGTATATTGCCTTGTGGATGGGAATTTCCAATACCTGATTATGAATGTCTGCTGCATATGTATATGAAAAGATTAATGTATCTTCAGGTTGTGCGTGTAGGGACTTTGTGCACTTTTTATTGGCGAGGATGATACCTAGGATGCTTCTGGTTTTTATGGTGTCATTAGTTTCAGTGGAAATGGAATTAAGTTAAGGTGTGGTTATTCGAAATCCCAGTCAAAAAAACCAAGCCAGGTCTCTAATCTTTCCCTTTTTAAATTTTTACTAGCATAAAAACTTCTAGCATCTTCATTTGTGCCTTATGCTTCAGGAATATGTAATTAGATCCTGGTTAGGGAATTTAATAGCATTTCTTTTCTTGGAATATATTATAAGTAATTTATGCTTGATTAAATAAATTCAGTTGGAACTTTCTGTCTTTCATCAAATTGGTCTGCTTCCGTTTGAAAATACTTTTGACTGGTGGGCATTATTTTTTTTTTTTTTTTTAATAGAATTGGAAGTAATGTTATTTATGTGTTTTCCAACTACATTCAGGAGGAATTGCATCAGCAGAAAGAAGAGGAAATGGATGATTTTTGTTCTCAGGTATGGAATCTGGCATTCTGCTTCTTGTTCTTACTTGTCTTGTTTTCATCATTAAAATTATGCATGCCATTGTTAAGTTTCCCTAAAATGCAATTTGGCAATTTTTTCGTGATTATTAATTTGAATAATATCTTTAAAAATTCAGGGGTTCTTATGAATAAAAAACATGAGGTTTTATTTGTGGAGGCTAAATTTGTCATATTTGTAAAAAATTCAAGGCATTGTCTTTTTTTTGTAGACAATGATCCTTGGGTAGGCGATGGTGATGGAGTGAGTAGGCAAATATCTATTTAATCCTGACGGGGGACATTCTCTAGGAGATAAACTAACACGAGTATATGGTTCACCTATCTTAGTATTATAACATGCTTGTCATTGTATCTAAGTGTAGATTATATGAACATCAAGTAAAATATAAGCGATAGACATAAATAACATTACATCAATAAAACACCTGCTAGTGTTGGAATATTTGTGGGCCTATAATGAAACCTCTTGTTCTCTGTTTT